TGTCTCCATGGAGACTTTAATTGGTTTAACAATACTGCTTGGGGTGTGGATTTTTCACACCCCTGACTTACATCAGTAAACTGACCAAGTTTTTAGCATAGATCAGGCCATAGGAAAGTTTTACCAAAATGACTATGTCAATAAGAGGTGTGGTTGTTTACTGACTTAGTTATGCTAGCACAAACCAGTGTACAGCTTATTTCACGTGGCCAAAGCAGACTAAACTATACTGGTATAAACAACAAGGAGTACTTGTGGCACCTCAGAGACTAACAAATGTATTTGGGCATAAGCTTTTGTGGGCTAAAACCCACTTCATCAGATGCATGGAGTGGAAAATACAGAAGGCAGGTATATATACACAGTACATGGAAAAAATAGGCATTTTTCTACTAGTATAACTGTGTCTACACTAGGGTTCTTTTAAGAAAGGTCTTAGTGTAGACAGGTTTCAGAGTAGCAGCCGTGTTAGTCTGTATCGGCAAAAAGAACAGGAGTACTTGTGGCACCTTAGAGACTAACAAATTTATTTCAGCATAAGCTTTCGTGGGCTACAGCATCCGAAGAAGTGGGCTGTAGCCCACAAAAGCTTATGCTCAAATAAATTTTTTAGTCTCTAAGGTGTCACAAGTACTCCTGTTCTTTTAGTGTAGACAGTTCTCCAGCTCCAGCAGCCACGTGCCGCACTGTGTTAATTTACCCCATCTGTCTGTGTTAATGGACGTGGTATTGAAAACTGTTGCCAGAGCCTGAAAGTCATCTACATAACAATGGTGATTCTTCTGCACCTTGTGAGACCATTTTCACTAGGGCAAAGTGATAGGGTTACCATATGTCTGGGTTTTCCCAGACATTGCCTCTTCTTTGAGCCTCCGTCCAGGCAGATTTTTCAAATAACAGAAAATGTCTTGGATTTTTGCAGAGCAGTCGCTGCAGCTCAGAAAGAGCCCCACTTGGTCTGCTTCCTGATTAGTCCCTCCCCTGAATTGGCAGCTGATTGGTCCATTCCCCTGCAGCCACAGCTGCTGGATCCCACCCACCTAGGCCCCCTGCTCCCAAACCTGGGGAGGGGATCCCGCAGGTAGGTGCTGACTGGTGGCTGTCTGTCACTGCATTCTGGGCTTGTGCCAGCTGCCCTGCCACCATGACAGGGAACGACACTGCCCCCCACCTCCAGTGAGTACTCCTGCTGCAGGTATCCCCTTCAGCTCCTCCACCTACACTCCTCCTCCAGCTCTCCCTCTCCCCTTCAGCCTCCCTCCTCCCATAGTTTCCTCTTTTGGGGAACCTGAAATATGGTAACCCCAGAAAGTGGGTGTAAAATGCTTAACTGGTAGTGCTTTACACTCATTTTGCATTGGTCTAAGTGAGTACATGAGCAGGGCAACAGTAAGACTGAACAGTGCTACCACCAAAATAGCTGCACTAGTGGGAATTTTTTGCTTGAATTTCCTCCCTAGTTCAGTCCCTTTTGGACTCTATGTTTTAATTATGTTTCTGATCTGTAGTACAGCCTTGCAGACTCCAAAGATGCAGTGTGATGCAGAGACACTATTAAAAATACTCTTTGATCTCATGTACAGTGCAAGACTAAACCATGCAAATGAAAAGAAATTAGGGTTGTGCCCTTTTTATGCTTCTACATAGAAGCTCCCCCCCTTTTTTTCCCCCCTCTCCCTGCTACAGCTTATTTTATACCTTAGAAAAATCAGGATTATTGAATCTGGTCTTTCCATGTTTTGCATTAGAATTTGTTGGAGGTTTCAGAGACATGGATTAGGAATTCTCTCGGCCTTAATTGAAAAGTAAGAGATGCTGCATCTTTAACAGACTTATTTTTCTCCCCAAGATTTGTAGGGCTATTGAATTAAATGGGTGTTCATGAAAAACAGAGACTTAAATTCCTCTCAATCAAGTTTCACTTCTTTGGTGCTGTCATAATCCTAGCAGTTTTCCAGTAGCAGAAATCTTTCCTATGCTAGTCTTTCAAAGTGGGGAAATCTAAATTTATTCTTTAAAAAAGCAGAAAAAAATACTTAAAACAACTGTTGTTTATACACAATAAAGTAGCTTAGGCACAAACTCAATTTGTCTTTGTTTTGCATCTTTAATAGTCTTGGGATCCTGCCATATTGTAATAGTCAACATTGTTGATTTTACTGTATATTTGGGACCTATTTCCTGTAGGGAAGGGGCACATAAAATTCAGGTGGATAAAAGATCTAAGACCTTAGGCTCCTCTTCCTATTCTAGATTGTGCCCACATAGCATAACCCTCAGGGACAAACAAACAAAACAAAAAAGAAAGAAAGAAAAACAGAAATATCCTATAGGAAGGGACAGAATCTTAATGCTCTGGAAGAAGGTAAATTCTGCCACCACTCAAGTGTGAAATTTAGCTGCCAGACTTAATAGAACTCCACCCTTTCATTTAGTTTGAGTTTCTATCATAATGGGGGAAGGAGGGAAGGGCACTCTGATTGGCCAGATACACTCTCATTCAGTTTAATCTCTTGTAATAAAAGGTACTAGTCTAGAGCTTCCTTCTTGCATTACTAGAGCTCAGGCCTGGCATAATTCCAGTGTTGCTAGGAACATTGTGTTCATGTCTGTCCCACTTACTAATACTGGGACAAATGACTGTGCCATAGCCGCTGATCATCAGATTTCCCCTGTGAATGACTGACTGCCTCAACATCTTACTGTTCTGAGCCTGCAGCAGAGGCTGACTGTTCAGAGATGTGCCCTTGAAATAATAAAAATACTTAAGGTTGTCAACTCTGACTGAAGCTATTCTGGGAGATTTTTTCCCCCAACATGACATAATTTCATTTTCTTAAAATATCCTATTAAAATTTCCTGGATTGCTTTCAATAGTTGCTGGGAGATTAATGCCAATTCCAGGAGACTCCAGGCTAATCCTGGAGACTTGGCAACCCTAAAAATACTTAGCTGGTTTGCTCTAGCAGAGCTGACATATTAAATCACATGAGTACTTCATGTCACTTCTTATGGGGTAAGAGGAAGTCTAGACCCCTCTTCTGTTAGAAATTGCTGGAGGGTGGAACATAACCCTCCTTCCTTGTAGAAAGGTACAGACTGGTGGAGGAGCCAGGGTGTTCACTCTGACTGCCTTGAGAGGAGGGGCCTTTTACCTTTAAATGCAGGGCTTTCTTCTGCTTTCCCCCAATCCCAGTGTCAGGAGAGTCATTTGGTGTAGTGAGGCAGTCTTGTATAAAGGTATTTGATGGGATCTTGGGATGGAGGATGGGGGGCTGGTCCCTTGATATAAAGCACCTAGTGAGCCTTTGTTATCTATTATCTCTGTTTATATAATTAAATCACTTGACTTCTTTTGTGTTACATCTTGTGTTTCCAGGACTGTGCTTTTCTATGGATGCCCCTGCTGTTGTCCCCAGACCTCTCAGAGACTCTAATCTCTTCTGCATTTCTTTTCCCCTCCAGGATCAGTGATTACTGGAGCCAAGTGCTTAATGTATTTGGTGGATATAGCCTTCTTATGCTATTTGTGAATTAGCCACCAATTGCTAATCATTTCCTCAAATGTATAAACTATTGGGAATTATTTTGTCAAATATTTATGGCAAACATTATTAATTGTAAGTGTTTGGTATGTGACATTTGAGTTGTATTAGCTATGGCTGACTGGATACATAGCTCTCCGGGCAGGTTTATATTCCCTGACTGTATGAGTGTAACATAACTCTTAGAATTTTGGTTTTTTAGCAAAAAATGTGCATGTCCACAAATTGAAAAATTCACCTTTGGAGAATATTCTCACCAATTTTCTATTGCCGGTAGCTTCCTAAACGCTTTCATAATGTGAACCTGCAGCTTAATACCACATTGCATGGACACTTCTCCTTCTCTTTATAATTGGGCAGATCACCTGGTCACACAGTTGCAATTGCATAACATCCCTGAGGCAACTACAGCAAATTGCTCACGTGGAAGTGTAACATTAATAATTCCTCAATGTACTTTCACTTTCTTTAATGTAATTTAGCAGCTTGAAACAAAGGAGCGTTTCAATGTGACCAGTAAACACTCAGTAGATAGTTGGAAGTTCATAAACTACTAAAAATTGCAGAAAGGAGACACAAGGGGGCATCTTCACTAGGAAAAAAGGGTGTTGTCTTCCCTCATGTCAGCTAACCCAAGATAAAATCCTACTGAAGACAAGGCAGTTTGTACTTTTAATGAGGTGGCAGATGCAGATAAATTCTAGGCTTTCTTTAGTCTTTACCTTGACCTCCTAACATGGGAAAACTACAAATTGTTTTGTCTTCACTAGGATTTTATCTTTAACTAACAGTGAGGTAAGAACACAACTTTTTTTCCTAATGTAGACAAGGCCAAAATGAGCAAGGAAACAAACTTATCGAAGAATGCAAAAAAGTATTTCCTTTCATTTGAGTAAAACATGGCAAACCTGACAGGTCCAGTCACCAATTCAGTTCCTTTTACACTGAGAATGTGTTTTAGAATAAGGAATTCAAAGCTTCTTAAACCAGACACTTAATCCTTCTAAAAAATAAGTAATGCAGCTGCTGTATAATAAAATATTTATGAAACACACTACACGAACACTGTGCCTCAAGCACAAAATGTGGCAGATCAAAAAGTTGAAAACTACTTTTTTTATTACACTTATTTATTACAGCTGGCTCTGATGATGAAATTTCAAACTTGTAAAGCACAGTGTAGACACTTGTCATCTGTACTTGCAAATAACCTAATCTGCCCCACCCTTAGTTCAAGAAGGGAGAGCGCACAGATGTACAGTTCAAAGGCAGAACAGTCAATGAGAGGGTGACAGAGCTCAGAGAACGTTTGAAAGCTGAGACGAAACATGATCTGCCTCAAGCTCCTCCCACTGTTGTAAACATCTACAGCCGCCACTGCCCCAGGGAGCGGGTCGGGGGGGAGCAGGGGGCGGGGCACGGGGGGGGCTGCGCGCTGGTGCCGGAAGTTCCGGGTCGGAGGGGACCGGAAGTCGGGACGTGGCCGCCCCGCCCCAGCCGAGCCGAGCCGGAGGCTGAGGGAGGATGGCGGCGGTGGTGGCGGCGCTAAGCTCGGAGCGGCTCGAGGTCTCCATAGACGGGCTGACCCTGAGCCCCGACTCCGAGGAGCGGCCTGGGGACGCCCGGCCGGGGCAGCCGGATCCCCGGGCGGGGAACGCGGCGGGGTGGAGCCGGCCGGGCCCCGGGCTCCCGGAGGAGGCCGGAGGGGACGCGGAAGAGGCAGCGGCGCTGAGTCCGGAGCAGCGCTGGGGGTTCGGCCTGGAGGAGCTGTACGGCCTGGCCCTGCGCTTCTTCAAAGGTGACTGACCCCGCCCCCGCCCCCGGCCTGTCCCGCCCCGAGTGCCCGGGCTGCCCCCAAGCCCCGCCGCCTCTCCGGGTTTGCCCCTCCCCCGCCCCGGGAGCGGCGAACGAACTCGCTCCGCGCCCCCTCGTGCTCTGAAGCCCCCGAGCAGGCGCCGGCCGGGTCCTGGTTGGTGCGAGCGGAGCCGCGGCCGCAGCTTGACTCGGACTCGGAGCCTTTGCTCACAACTTAGCCCAGACCACGGATGATCCCTACTCAGCACCCGGCCCCAGGGCGGTGAAGGTCGCGGCCCTTCTGGTGCGGACCGGGGCCGGGCCGGTGGGGCTCGGAGACAGCGAGGAGCCCAGTGCGCGCTCGTGGGGGGGCGGGCGGCAGCTTATAGGGCCGGGCAGAAAATGACCGGTAATAGCATCTGTGAGTGTTTCTTTGTAAACCCCATTCCTCCCACCCCAGGTTACCACTATAAATATTATAACACTAGAGAAGGAAAGAGGTTAGGCTATAGTAATTTACTTGATGATTTCAAACAGTTCTAAAATTCAGAGGCTTTTTTTTTTTACTGTTTCATGTTTAAAATGAAATCGTAGCAGCAAATTTCTCTGTATATTAGGGGCAGAAGCAGTACTGGGTTAAGACAACAGGCACTACTGGCTCATATTTAGGGCTCCAGCTTCTGGGGGTGATGTATTGGAATTTAAGTTTTAACTTGGTTTCTCACCTGCATGATGCAAAGAGAACCTTGAAAATGTGGACTGAGCATCTCAATCATGACTGCTTGAGTTTGCAGACAGCCAAACAATTGCTCTGAGGGCTATGAACTGGGGTGTTAACTCAAAGGCTCTCTACTCTGGGAGCCCTGTGAACATTGTCCCAGGAAATAAAGTATGGCTATGCTACACAGTTATCTTCTTGGGTAAGTACTGGGGGACTCTTTGTCCCTCTGGAGGAGGGAGATGAGATCCCTGTTGCCCTCTTTATTGCTCCCAAGGGCAGAGGTTCTGTCTTGGGGAAGAATGTCATTCTGCACAGAGAAAAAAGAAGAACAGGAGGAC